CTAACTGAACTCGAGCCCTAGATTCGCCTCTGGGGGGTGGGTGAGGGTTGAGAGGAAGAAGACGGTTGTGTGTGTGTATTTTTTTTTTTGATTTTTTAATTGATTATTTAATGTGATAAATGGAAAGTTACTATTTTGTCCATTTTTAAAATATTATTAAAAATATGGTCAAAGTTAAAATTTTGATCGACTGATAAAATTATGGATGTAAACTGTCCAAAAGGGCTTCACCTGCAATATTTGAAAATGTTAGGGATGGCAGCTGCAACAAATCAAAGGTTAGGGAAAGTCTGCTAATGTTTTAAAGATTTGAGGTTTTTGCTGCAATTATCCCTTTATTTTATTTACTTTTATCTAGAAAAATTTGAATTTTGATTTAATACATTTGTGCTTTGCCTGAGTCAAATAAAGAACATGTCGAATTGAAACATTTTAATTGAAGTGAATCAGATTTTTTAATAGTTTTGAGTGATATTGATCGATTTTGTCCACACGAACTACTATGTATAAATGATCAGCTAGTCTTTCAAAGAGAGAGTTGGCACCTTGAATCTAGTTCCACTTTAGTGTGAGAATGAGTTCACCTTTTTCATGAGAATAGGCTCTTATTACATAGCCTTCAAAATGCGTTGATGTCTTCTAAAACGATTATCTGCACATGAGATAAGTGTTCTTAAAGTTTTTTGAGATTGTCGATCGAAATATTAACGAAGAACAGGATTGAATGTACTATAAGTGTTATGTCCTAAGTCTAATCAACTTTCAATATAAACACTTTTAATATATATTTGATGTATTTTTATGGCATATATGTTATTTAAATTCAATTAAATTAAATAATAGAGTTTGTAGATTCAAATTTTAGTAATTTGTTAATTACAAGGAGTTGTGATTGTGAAATACAAATTGCATACGACTGAATCTTAAATCATCCATGATCGTAAGTAATAACAAGATACGAATATCGTTATTAAAGATAGATCATCGTGTGTGGAATTTCTTACCTGTGAAGTAAATAGCTAATGTCACAAGTTAAAGTGTGGTGACACTTAAATGAACACGTTGACGTTTTATTATAGAACAAAATATTGGAGACCCGATGAGAAGATTTCACATGGATAATTATCTAAATGTCAATGGTTAATCCCTAACGTTCGATAATTGAATTTGTTCTTTGACTTGAGATCATCACAATGCCTTATATGAGGATAATCATACTTTAGTGGTGGTGGATGTTACTCTATCAAGAGTCGCTAATACGATATCGTTTGGGTATGTCAAAAATCATATGAATGTTATAAATGATCAATAGATGATTCGTCATTCTTAGATAATAAAAGATTATGATCTACATTTCATTCAATTAAGTTGATAATGAAATACTTGGCAAATGTATACTTATAAGTCGAAAAAAGAGTTTTCGACTTACATTAACTTAATAGTGGAATAAAAGATATAATCAATAATTGAGATTGACACATGTCAATATCTCGTAATTGATCGAATTATATTGACAAAAAGATTATAGTTTCAGAATAAACTAGTTTGATTTTATCATACCACATAACATTTTTCGTCACTTGAATTACCCGACACATTGCTAGATGTCAATTTGGGACAACGGATGTGAATTAGTGATAAATTGAAATGTGTTATTTTAATTTATCAATTTTGATTAGATCAAAATAATAATTTATATCGTTAGATATCGTGATCAAGAATTTAATGGATCATATATAAAAGGAAAACTAGAAGCATGCGATTTACCAATCAATTAATTAATAAGTGTCTGACAATTAATTGTTTGAGTTGCTGGTTAATAGACTCAATTAATTCATGGACCAAATTTAATTAATTAGATTAATTAAATATTGGATCAAATTAAATTTAAAAGACGGGACAATCCACTTGGACTTGTATTAATAAGTTAATGTAGTTTCAGACATAATAAAACATGATTTATATTCTTGCTAGCATAGGAAAAGAAAAACATAATTTTCTCATTCTTGTTTTCTTGTATGAATTTTCATTAGACGTTGGACAATTGGACAGATGTGGATTGTAAATCGTGATTGTTCGTATTTAAAGATCAACAAAGGAGTTTGCAGAATTTACAAAAGGTATAATTCCTATCACCGGTGGGAATTGAAAAGATTTTACTTTTCGTTGTGCATGATTAAGTAAATTCCCAATATGTACTGTCGCGACTTCTACTTTACATGCTCCATCTTTGATCGCTGATGATTCTAGCTCGGTTATGGTGATCTAAACATGAAAGACGGGGTTTCTTTCTCCCTTATTGGTTGATCTTAATCAATAAGATTTGACAGGATTCTGGGAGCAATGATAGATCTCAAATCTTGATGGCCATAAGAGGCATAGCCCTACATGTTTTTCTTTATAAAAATCTATCGGCATCCTCTAGTGATACATAATCGTAGCCAAAAAAAAAAAATCGTGTCATTTTCACAGAATGAACTAATAAATTGGAGGGAGAAAAAGTTGGTGAACCAACAAACTTGTAAGCACTAAATGGCCCCATCTACGGACTGACTGCTAAGAAAGTTGTCTGATATTTGTCCACTCTATCCCCCAAACATACCTGCTATAATACTTCCGTACTGCACCATATCTTTCAATATTTTGCCTCTTTGACTGGGAATTCCGTGAACCTCTTCATCCCTTATATATTAATCTTCAATTTCTCATATATATATAAAAAAAAAAAAATCTTCAATTTCTAGAAAAATATTATCATTTGCCGGGATTGCTTATTATTTGGATTCAAGATCAATAACAAAAATCCAATTATTCCTTATATATCAAAATGATTGAAATCTCTTTTAGTTGAAATAGTTAGTATCGAGTCATGAATGAAAATTTCTGATCGTAGTTGTTACAATTCTCTTATTTTATGAAAAAATTCACAGTTGATTTGGTTTGATTATAATCCATTAAGAAACGTGTTGGAATTATATTTGCAGAGTTTTGTATTTCAATAGATTTTTTTTTTTTAAAAAAAAATAAATAAATTGTGAAGGCCATTTAATAGGGAACAAGTGAAGTAGGTGTTGATTTCGGTCTTGACTGTTAAGTGTGCTCAGAATGTTCTGTTTGAAATTTCATAGGGTGGAATTCTCCACCCACGTGACACATTTTTCTTCATGAAATCTAAAGTGTTAGGTTAGATAATGACCAGTGATGCAATTTAGCAACACATTTTCAATTTTCTGGCTGGCAACTCCTAAATGTCATTTAATTTAAATCATATGAAATATAATACTTGATTTGTCATTACGAATTATTACGCTTTACTTTTCTTATTTGAAATTGAGACGGTATTGAACACAGAATTTTCATAATAGCATCATTAGATCGCACATTTTCTCGATATATTTATATAATAATAAGAGTGCAATTGAAACATTCCAGATTTAAAAATATGGTTATTAAAACGTCTTTCAAGTTAAACTGGTGCTTGCTATTGCAACAGGGGCTGCAACGCCCTAGGTGCTAACGCATGCGTGTTTTGTATGTACAATATATTTTATCATTAAATATTGCTTACCGAACCTGTCGTATTTGGAGTGACGAGTAATGAAAACACGAGTGAGAAGCCAGGAGATGTGGTTTCATTTATTTTTATCAAAATTAAAAACTGAAAACTTGCAGCCCTTAGGGATACAAAATAGCCATTTCACTATTTTAAACGTCATCAAATGCTCTTTACACAAACTAGCCTATTGGGATCAGAGTGAAAGCCAATTTCAAATAAGGACAAATGTCAACAATTGAAGGATGACCAATATGTTTGAAAAGACGAGAAATTCTCTAGAATTAAGACAGGTGAATCGGAACAAAAAACACAGCCCACACTATGATTGATTATCGAATAATACAACAATTTATTCCTTCCGTTTCTGTACTGAAACCATAATAAACTCGAGCTTGCGTGCGAAGAACAAAAACCTTAACCGATCAATACAAGTACAACCACTCTAAAATGAAAATGAACAATGTTAATTCTTGTAAACAATAATTCATCATCTACCTTATTCAAAACCATCATTTAGCATTGGCTTGGTAGCATTAGCCGGAGAAGTATGTGGGTCGATAGTGTTACCCGTACTCGATGAAATATAATTACTATATTCAACTCCTGAAGTTAAGGTATTGTCTATCGTAGATGTGCTAATATCGCTAAAATATATGTCACTTAAGTATACTGGCGTTGAAGTGACAGTCAGGGGCGGACCCGGGGGGTCCTGGAGGGCACGTGCCCCCTAACTTTTGATTTTTTTTTTTTAATGTTATATTTGGTATTGATTGAAATCTAAATTTTAATATAAATCAAAATTAACAATTAATTTTAATAACATATTTCATGAAATCTATAACTATTTAACTTTTATCAAAATTTACTAAAAATTTGATTTTAATCTCCACCAAATAGGGTAAAATCACAATAAATTTGAATTTCGATAACATACTAATCTTAAAAATTCTTTGGCCATCATACGCTAATCGAATATACAAATTGTTTATGTCATCTCAAAACTTATTTTGAAAACTATATTATGGGCATATCGAATAGTCCAAACAAATATCGAAAATAGTTAAAAATACATTCAACGTGAGTCTTTAAAAAAGACCTCTAACTCGCTTTTTTTTTTAAAAATTCAAAAATTTCATTAACATTTATTATTTTTGCGATAAAAATTTCTCAATATAATTTTCGTCATTTTATTAAGAAATTTTTTATGCAATATGACATTAAATTTTTTTGAAATTTTACATCCGAAAAATTCATATCCTATGTAAATTTTCAGATGTAAAATTACATAGGGTGTGATTTTTTTGGACGTAAATTTTCGAATGTAAAATTTCTCACAACTTCTTTGCAAGTTCGATTTGTCCCCCTAACTTTTAAGGTCTGCGTCAGCCCGGGGTGGATAAAACCTTGATCGAGATAGATTGTATGAGAGTACGATATTGTTAAATTAAGGAAAGAACTGTACCATTGCCCATATTGAGTCGATTGCTAGCACACGGGGCATTGCATGCGAACTTGAAGCTGAACTACTCTGTTCAAATGGTAACAGATTTTTTGAATTTAGGTTTAACCATAAATTTACACATTAACCATCACTTATCGAATATATTTTATTATAATGCCCTTCATTGGGGGAAATTAAAATCAAGATTTTAATTTAAATCAACAATAAATTTTACGACACGTTTCATGGATCCCACAACTTTTCAACAAAATATTTTATTCACTTTTATCAAAATCTACTAAAAATCTGATTTTAAATCCTACCATACATGGGCATGGAAAATATATGCATCTTTTTTCCATAAAAAACTGCACTTTTTAAGTGTATGTTTGTCTAATTTGAATAATATTACAAATCATGTATATATATTTGAAATAATATTTTTCAAGAACCAATGAACATCTCCTCTGGGACGGTAATATCTTGTGGTGGTTGAAAATTGTTCTTTATATGTAAAATTAATAATAAGGCTGTTGACATACAAAAATGAAGCCAAACTAAAAGAGGTCATAAAAAAAAATTCAATTATTTCATTAACATTTATTATTTTTGCAATACAAATTTTTTAATATAATTTTCATCATTTTATTAGGAAATTTTATATGGAATATGACATTAAAAAATTTCGAAATTTTACATCCGAAAAAGTCATATCTCATGTAAATTTTCGGATGCAAAATTATATGGGGTATGATTTTTTTGAACGTAAATTTTCGATTATAAAATTTCTCCCAACTATTTTTCAAGTTCGATTGTACTCCCCTAACTTTAAACTTCTGTGTCCGCCCCTGATGACAGTGGAGATCTCCGCTTCTCCACAAAGCATTGCCACCACACGAGACATTGCAGGCTTTTGAGCTGGGGATGTTTGACTGCATAGAAGTGCAACACCTATCATTCTTTTCACCTCGTCCTCGTTGAATGAGGACAGATTTTTGTCCACCAATTCCATTCCCCGGTTATTTTCATGCAGGTGCCAGGCCTGAAAAGGGTGAATAATGAGTTACAACATGCAATAGCAAAGTAAGATGGAAAATGCAGAAAAAATATTTGAACTCTTGAATTATGTATATCAAAAAATTATTTTTAAGAGTTGTACACAAAATGTTTTATGTGAAATGGTTCGAGAGAAAGTCATAGAATATACCCATTCGAGAAGATATCTCTGATCTTCTTCCAAACTTGAGTCAGAATTTACTCTCCCGCTGATGATCTCTAGGGCTACAACTCCAAAGCCAAATACATCAGCCTTCTCAGTAAGGACACCACGCAAAGCATATTCCGGAGCAAGATACCCACTGCATGAGCAATCAGAAAAATCTCAGCAATGCACTTAACTACTTGATACTTAATTTTAACAGCAAATGCAACTAGATATTAAAAGTTAGAGCACGAATAAACATTATCGACATTGACTTTTAAGGATCTTACATTGTGCCTGAAACACGGGTGCTTATATGATTCTTTTGTCATCATACAATTTGGCCAAACCAAAGTCTGAAATTTTTGGATTGAGTTCGGAGTCAAGCAGAATATTGCTTGCCTTTATATCTCTATGTACAATTCGAGGACGAGACTCCTCGTGAAGGTAAGCTAGACCTCTTGCTACACCTAAGCATATTTCGAAACGTGTTGGCCAGTCCAAGCATAAGTTTCTATTTCCTTCTATATCGAAGCAAAAAAAGTTCAATCTTCAGTATATTAGCGTGCACAAAAACATCTTAGCATGAAGCTATACACAGGATATAACTTATATCAGATAATGCTAGACCAAGACTCCTGTTTTCAAGATACTCATAAACAAGCAACCGTTTATCACCCTCAATGCATCATCCATACAATTTTACAAGGTTCCGGTGTCGCACGCCAGATATAGTGACAATCTCTGCCACAAACTGGCTCTTTTCTTGATGAGATGCTACAGACAGTTGCTTAACAGCAACAATTCTTCCATCCTCAAGTGTTCCCTTTAGATCACAAATACTAAAACGGTCAGATATAAAGAGCTAGAAACAGTATTGCACTTGCCAAACTAGATATCACATGGAAACATGATCCATAGTAATTATTAGAAGGAAAGAAAAGAAAACCTCCAATAAGTTTAAAAGACGTATGTGATTACCACTTTGGTAGCGAAAGCTCAAATTATATTATCCCTGTTTTTCTGGTTTCCTAAAGGCCGGAGTTTGTGTGTTACAAAAGAAAACACGAGGTAGAAGGGAAAAATTTAACAAAAACTTGTTATGGGGCATCTTACATCAAACTTGTCCCAGCGGTGAAGGTTTTTAGTGCCTATCGAAGTGATCACCCATTTTATGATCCTTGTGTTAAAATATAGCTTACCTTGTAAACCGGCCCAAATCCTCCCTCGCCAATTTTATTAGAAGAACTGAAATCATCTGTTGCCGTTCGTAGTTCCACATAATTAAAAGTGTATGGTCTGGCATCCATTCCCAAGAACTCTGCAAATACACATGAACACAATTTTTTGGTTTTCAATTTCCTAAGCTAATCATTCCCCATTTCATGAAATTATACTAAGGAACGACAGTTCTGCGGGATGTTGTGAAGCGGACTGTTTAATTAAGCATAAGTCTACTGATCCTACTCACCTTCATCTTCAAATCTCTTCGGCCCTTTTCTTCTCTGAGCCAAATAATATATGGTGAATAAGGAAAAAGAGATTACAACTCCAACAGCGACAACAAGTACCACAATAAGACCAGTCCTGTACTTCCCACTCGCGAGATCATTGGGAGGATTATTACTTACAGTGGGAATGAAATCTGCATATTTTTTTAGTTGTCAAAACTGGCATCAATGGATTAAGATTCATTAGACATTACTATGAAATATCAAACATTTTGAGTGTGTATGTACCTGGGATGACACTTATTGCTGAAATAGAGGGTCCATATACACCTTGAGAAGGTACGTAGCACGTCCCCTTTCCAGCCCAAAAGAGATGGATCTCAAGGTAGTTATTGGTCGCCTGGGCTTTAAATTCCTTCACCACAGCTCCAAAAGAGGCCCCGCCAGCATCTTTTCTTATGTTGAAATCTTTCAATTCCAGATTATCCTTAACAAATGAAATGAAGAATGAATTTAATATCAACCGTACTATATGGAATAAAACAATTCGATAACCAAACTGAGTTTGGATTTGTTAATAGCATTTGACAGCGCAAACCAGAAGGATATGAATTTACCAAGGAAGAATCCTGAAAAATCAAGGAAAGAGTTGCCATATCTATATTGAATGAAAGTTCCATGATAACATAGAATAACATTGTCGCCAACCACAGAATGCTGCAGAAGCAAGTTAGAAATAGAAAACAAGGAGCTAATTCACATAGAAGCTTGATCTCCATACATGATCCCAGTACTTAATTGATGATTTAAAAATCATCCAACGAACCCCTTTAAGTGCACAATTTAAAGGCAAGCACCATTTTTTCCCAAGGTTTTAAAGCATTAAACTAAACCTGCATTTGAGTTTAAGAGTTTTTCAAGTGAAACTACATACCAGAAACCTTTCCTACAGTATGTTACCCTACCAGACAAAGCAATAAACTATAGTCTGTTTGAAGGGAAACAAGAACAATGGTTGTGAACATATTCTACAATTCTAAACACAGACCTGAATATATATGTTGAAAATGCGCCTTCCTAGACTTTCCCAAGATGTAGGATTTTGAATTTCTGGCTCTCCAAACTGGAGGGTCACGTTGTAATTTCCATTCTCCAGGTCCAAGCCATAGTATCTTAGGGATCCAGCAGAAATCCGTGCACTCTGGAATAGCTCGGGGTCCTTTATATTTGGGAAAAAAGTAACAAAATTTGTTGTATATCGTAGATTCTTGCTTCCAGAAGGCAGACCAACATTACTAACTGCCCATCTGTGTTCCCTTGTCACATAATATGTTGCTGGACCCAGAGTCTCATTATCTGCCTCGTGCACAATTCCCGCATAACAACTCATTTGTGAACCGCCACGTTTAATTGCAAAGCTGGAATCTGCAACCCATATTAGAATCTCACATTATTTGGGAAAATATAAATGATCCACTTAATAAGGTGAAGGCAATCATTCCCTAATAAGCTGTTGAGAAACTAGGGTAGTTAAGAATGAACTAATTGCCTCAGACATTTAGTTCATCATTGGCATTGAAGGCATCAGGTCAAGAGATAGCATCAGTTCATCAGTAGCCTCAGAAGGGTCTTTTCATCATAGGCCTATTATGAGAAAAAA